GTTCTCCAGAGACAGGGCCACTGAGCCTCTGACCTTTCTCCCACCTCTGGTCTACTTCCTCTCTTTGGAGTGCTTTCTTTCTTAATAAACTGCCTATTTTTACCACAATCCTATGTCACTGTCCATATTCTTTTTCAGGGACACAGGAACCTGGAAATCTCAGTGAACCCTGATACTCAACTATAATATCAGTAATTGGTGAGACCAGGAATGGTCTATCCGGAGATGGCACACTTAGGAACACATGTAGTATTTGTTGAATAAACCAGTGAAAACTCTTGCATTCTCTAGTCCAGAACCAGACAAACTACAGCCATATTCCTATTTTGTAAAATTTCATTGTCGTATAGCCTCACCCGTTGGCTTTTCAGTTGCCGAAGATGGCTTTTGTGCTACAACATAAGTCCCTTGCTACAGAGACTTCAAGGTCTGCAGTCTGAAATATTTACTATCCATTTTCTTACACAAGATGTTTTCTCCAAGACCACCCTGATGTGACTCCAGAAAGCCAGCCCCAGGCACATCTCTGTGCTGTTATGCTGAACTCTAGGATCCCAGCCTGGCTCACTGGTGGCCCTTCACCAGCATGAATACATGTGAGCAAATTCCACTGTGATGGGAAAGAACAGCTTATAGGCTCAGAATTTATCAGTGAGCTATAGCGTGATCAGTCTCATTTCCAGAAAGGGGAAGGCTGGAGACCAACACATACCAGTTAACATATCAAATATACACTCTTTATATGTCCTTGGAAGAATTAAGAGATTATTGACTGTTCCTCCGGTACAGACTTTCTGTGAGACTTAGATTGAGATTTTATTGCCGAAGGTATTTTGTAAGTCTAAGAGCTAGAGGTTAACTTGCAGAAAACTGGTAACACTAAAAGGTTCTTGTCTAAAAGCTTTGTATATCATTTCTGACCTTAGCAATGCAAATGAGTTTTCTGGGGGAGAGAGATCATCGATTACTGTCTGGCATAAAAGATATCTTCATGTAGCTTATTGGACAGTAAGCTATTAACCAGTCCTGCATACAGCAGAAATTCTAGTTTCCTATTAACTATTAACTATTAACTATTCCTATTAACTAGTCCTGCATAGAGCAGAAATTCTAGAAACTTCTAGTTTCCTTTGATTTGACTGAGAATAATACAAATGTTATTCCAATTCTCCTTTGAACAAATTTGAGCATCTTTCTGGGTTCCTCACTCATGAGTTGAATAAAAACAGTTGCATGCGTTCATTTGATATCTACGTGAAGGTTGTTTCCAAGTCTCCTGAAAATGCTAACATGGATACAATCTGTACATGCTTCAGGAACTGCTTTGGGGCAGTCAGAATGGATGTGAGAAAGACAAGGCCTTGCAACACTTTGCATCAAATTCCAAAATGGAAGATTGTGCTTTAGTTTATATTCTTCAAAAAGGCCAAATGTGAAGAGGACTGATAAACATTTAAGGAGATCAAGGTACTTGCCCCACAAAACACTTAGGATTTAGGAAGGGTTCTCAAAGGTTGTACAAGGCAGATAGATACTAAGATTTCTGTATTTCTTTGGATGTTAACTTCAAGACTGGGCAGGTACTTCGTGCTTTACAAGGCAGGTACTCCTTTTCCTTCTAATGCTGTGATAAGATAAGACACTCTTACCAAAAGAAACGTTAGGGCAGCTGGAGAGATGGCTCAGCGGTTAAGAACACTGACTGCTCTTTGGTTCCTGGCCCCCACATGGCAGCTCACAGTCTGTAATTGCAGTTCCAGGGATCTAACACCCTCTTCTGGTTTCTGTGGGCATAGTATGTACTGGTGCACTTACATTTATGCAGGCAAAATACTCATACACAAAGTAAAAAAAAAAAAAAAAAACTTCGGGGAAAGGATTTATTTCATCTTATACTTTCAGTTCACAATTTGTCATTGAGAGAAGTCAGGACAGGTGCTCAGGGAAGGCACTTGAAGCAGAAACCACGGGAGAAGGCTGCTTTTCAGCTCATTTTCTGGCTTGCTCACTCAGGCTTATGCTCAGCCGGCTTTCTTATACAGCCCAGAACAATGTTCCCAGGGATGGCACCATCCGCAGTGGGCTAGGCCTCCCACATCAAACAACAATCAACAATTCCATAGGTCAATCTGATCTGGGAAATCTCTCAACTGAAACTCCCTCTTCCTAAGTGATTCTTGATTGTGTTTCATTGACAACAAAACTAACCGGGACAGCAGAGGAAACCAAGGTAACTCCAGACACATTTGTGCTCTATCCAGATGTTTGCCTCTGGTGGATGCTCTAATTAGACATGATTTCCTGGAACCAGAACGATGATACGGTCTTAGTTGTAGCTATCAGTCTAAGAAGACGCCCCTCGTGTACGTAGAACCTCTCCAGAGGACAGGAGACCTTTGGATCGATGTCTTCTGTGTATATCTTCATAGAGGGAGCTCCTGCTGGTATGGAGGACCCTCTTTATGTCACCCCTCTTTAGGGTCTACTTCATCTCCCACCACCAGAGCAATGTCAGAAGTTCTGCGTGAATTCTCTAGGATGCTGCGGGGATTCACCACCTTTCACAATAACCCACTTCACCATCTTCCCTTAGAAGAAAACTGTCTGCCGTATCTATGATCACAACAAACCCCCTCCCCGCCCAGCCTCAGTTTCTTCTCTGTCCAGCAACCGCTGAGATGCCCCTTTAAGGGAAGCACTCACAGTATGGGAATCTATTAGGTAAGCCGGTGGACACCAACCAAGTATGTGCTCTGGGGTACCCACATGCCACCTTTTCTCTGCAGTTTCAGTGTCTCCTGGTTCAAATTATGTAGCCCTAAGAATTAGAGTCATTGCTTATGAATGCCACACATTAGGGCATTACAGTCTAGGAGGGAACCCAGAGTGAGCAGGAATGCCCTGACTTGGGGGGATCCTAGGCCCAAGGAATGTCTCAGAGAGTCAAGAAAATGGAAATTTCACTTTCCATTACTAGTAAAAACCATGGGTGCCTCTACCACAGCATGAACTAAGATTTCTATGTCTAGTTTGAGAACCTATTTATGGGCACATGACCTGCCAGATGTGAAAACCATTGCTGAACCAGTTTCTTATGCTATTTAACTCTTATCTAGAAGGAATGTCTTATTTTTCTGTTGCTGTGATAAAGTACCCTAATGCTGGTCACATTATATTCACAACTAGGAAGCAGAGAGTAACAAATGCTTAGCTCACTTTCTTCTTTTCATAAAATCCAGGATCCAAGCCCAGGGAACAGTGCCACCCACAGTGGGCAAGTCTTTCCACCTCAGTTAACTTACTCAAGATAATCCCTCACAGGCAGGCCCAGGCAATTCTAGATCTCATGAAGTTGATCACTGAGATTTAACCATCACAGAATGAGTGGCACTTCTGATCTTGACTTTGTGATATTTGATTTGAGGGTTGAAAAGAGATTTTTTTTTTTCAGGAAAGGCAGCAGGATGAATTGTGAGAAGAGTTATAAAGTCATAGGCTAAGCATTCCCAGTGTGAAAACCCAAATATGGAAATTTCGGAGTGTCAACATGTCCCTTTAGTGGAGAATTCCATATCTGAACTAATGTCATGGTTCACAGTCAAAACAACTTATTAAAAACATGAAAAAGACCTTCATGCCCCATGTACAAAATGGGTGTGGAAAGATCTTCATGCCCAGTGCATAAAGTGGGTATGAAACAGAAATGAATTTCTTGTTTAGTTTTGGGTCTCCTTTGTAAGATTTCTCATTATGTATAATGCAACTATCCCCAAACCCTTGAAGGTCAGAAAAGCAAGACACGGTCCAATTATTAAAAACATGAAAAAGACCTTCATGCCCCATGTACAAAATGGGTGTGGAAAGATCTTCATGCCCAGTGCATAAAGTGGGTATGAAACAGAAATGAATTTCTTGTTTAGTTTTGGGTCTCCTTTGTAAGATTTCTCATTATGTATAATGCAACTATCCCCAAACCCTTGAAGGTCAGAAAAGCAAGACACGGTCCAAATATTTCAAATTAAGGACCCTCAACTTTCCTTCCTCCCTCCCTCCCCCCACCCCTCCCCCCCCCCCCCTCTCT